GAGTCGGACCAGAGGAAAATCAGAGAAGGCAAGCCCAGGGAGGGGGATGAGGAGGAAAAATGAAGGAGGGAGTGGGTTCAAGGGTGGAGTTCCCAGCCCACCTGGGCCATCGCCCCCTCCCCGTTACTGACAGGAGCCCAAGGCTCAGGAAGGTCAAGCCCCAGGCGGCGGTGAGGGTGGACACAGATTTAAGGATTGTAAACCAGGACCACACGTGGAGGCCAGGACAGACAACCAGGTCTGGTCTCTTTGCTGATGGGGAGACCAAGGCTTGGGAGGACAAGGGGGAGCTCCTTGGAGGTCACACAGCAAGTCCCCAGCCCAGAGCCCCAGAGACCCCCACCCCCTGTGCTTCGCTTACCCCGCTGCCTCTCTCGGGCCTTGGGCTTCCCGAAGCGCCTCCGGCCAGTGCCCCCTTTCTGCTTCTGCCTTTTCCTCTCCCCGTTACTGCCTTGTGCAGATGCTCCGCTGAGTGAGGAGGCAGCCGACTCGGGGTCTGAGGCCTCGCCCCCAGCCCCGCCTCTGCCGTCCCCCTCAGCCCTCCGGGGCCCAGGCTTCAGCCGGCAGTGGTCCTCTGGAGAGGTGAGAGGAGACACGCGCATGCGTGAACTTCACGAACAGGAGGGAGGGAGGAGGAGTCGGCCAGGTGGGGACCGACAGCACTGTCACACAGGTCCCCAGGAAGGGGTCCCCAAGGAGGGAACAGGCAGGAAGTGCACTGTAGATGCTGAAGTTCCACAAGCAGCTGGGATTTGGGGACAGAGATCCCAAATCTCTGTGGGGTGGGGCATGGGCTGAGGATGCTCCTCAACTTGGTGGCAAGAGGTCTGGGGGAGGGGCCCAGTGGACCAAGAGAGTCCCGGGGACCTCGAGAGAGTCTTTGACTTTGTGGGGTTCCCACGGTGGAGGAGGGGTGTTCTGGGGACCCAGTGAGGCCTCTATAAGCGGAGAGGCAGGCAAAGCCTGGGTGGGGGTGGGAGTGCAGACCCAGAGGGAAACCTTAGTCTCTGGGTCTAGTGCACTGGGAAGGGCAGGCGCCCACCCTCACTCAGACAGAGGAAGCAGCGGGGGTTCTGATGCAGGGCCCTCCGAAGGGTGGGTTTGGAGGTCCAGTGTTGGGGTTCCCACCGAGTAAATCCAGAACACCCTGGGCCTGACCATCCTTGGTAGGTTCCCGTCAGCGTGGGTGGATGGTGGGAGGCCCCAGCAACCCAGGCTAGAGGTGGCTCAAGAGCAGAGGGGTCCTCAGTAAAGTAGGTGTTGAAAAAACACAGGCCTTTTGCCCAGACTTTCAGCTGACTTCACAGAGAGGGAAGCGGAAGCTTTTGAGGGAGCCAGCCAGGGGCGGAACGGCAGGAAGGGGAGAGGAGAGTCTGGATCCACCAAAACACAGCTAAAGATTTGGCAGAGAAAAGCCCTATAAGGGAAGGGGATGGGGCAGTGTTCAGAATACATGGACCAGCAGGGCACAGTGTCCTGTCCAGCAGCAGAAGGACTCAAGCAGGAAGGAAGCTGGGCTTGAAGCCCCAGACATAGCCACAGGTGCAAGGAGAGGGCAAAATGACAGGTCCCCCTGAGCCGCCAGAGGATGAGTGTGGGTGAGAAGGGTCCTGTGTCCCTGAGGAGGGCCGAGCTGGGTGCCGGGGCCCAGGAGTGAGATGGGGAGGGGACTGGCGGCCTCACCTGCATCCATGCGGGCAGAGGAGATGAACTTGTCCAGCTGACACCGCAAGAAGTCCCTCTCCTCCTCCAGGTCCTCAATGCGCTTCTGCAGCCATGAGTTCCTCTCCAGGGCCATGTGCAGCTGGGCCCTAACACCGTTCATCAGGGCCACAGTCGGGGACGCAGCCTCCGGAGGCTCTAGGGACAGCAGAGGACCCTGGTCGACCCCAGGCCTCAGGGCCCTGCACCCCTGCCTGACTCAAGTCCCCCTTCAACCAACTCACCCTCGAAGTTTCCCTGAGAGGGGCTCAGACTGTAAAAGATCTGTGGGTCTAGGTGGGGCGTCTCGTCGAAGGGGATGGAAATCTCGAAGGCCTCATTGTCCTTCTTCACTGGAAAAAAGAGGCCGGGGTCACCCCAGGGAAGTCCCAAGGAGCCTCGGACCAGCCCCCAACCACGCAGCCCTGGAGAAGAAAGGGCAGGGACAACGGGCAGCAGCTGTGGGACCAAGGGTGGAGCAAGGTCCAGTTCCTCACCTGTCCTCCTCCGGCTAATGTTTCGCTCATTCATGGTGCGGCCTCCTGCGGACCCCAGCAGCTGAGAGCCTCAGGGGCACTGGACAGAAACAGCAGCCACAGATGAAGGAACACAGACGGACTCCTCGGGGACATCCCGGGGGAGCTGGGGCTCACGACTGCGGGAGGGCGTGCTGAGGGCCGGGACTCCTGGGTCTCATGGAGGAGGGGACCCAGACCCCTCAGGACTGAGGGAGGACCCCTGGGGTTACAAACTCCTAGACTCTAGAGAACGAGGGTGCTGGAAGAAGGACCGGTGGGGTTGACAGAGCAGGCACATCCTGGCCGAAATAGGACAGAACCTCATCACAGGTCGCCTCGGGGCCAAAGAAGTGAGAGGTGCGGGGGAGGGAGAGTGTGCCCCAACTTCCAGGCAGGGTGGGGGCCCAAGCCACGAGCCGCGCCTCCCCACCCCCGGTCACCCCACGCACTCGCGTGGGCGATCAAGGCGATCGCCCGTTGGGGAGCTGGGCGCGTGCGCAGTGCGGGGGAAGGTCGTGAGTGGGGATGCGCCCCCGCCCCCGCCCTTTGTCCCGCGGGTGGGAGGGGGAGCGACGGTGGCAAGTGGTCTCAGCGGGGGATGCACCTGGCCGCAGGTGCCGACGCGGCCACCACCGCCCCCACGGCCCGCAGGTGCCCGGGGTCGGACTGGCCGGGGCCCCACGCTCACCCACCCGCGCGCGGAATCCGGCCCGAGGACCGACGGCAGCGGCGGCGGCGGCGCCCATGCCCGGCGCCGGGGAGCGTCTGCAAAGAATAACGGGGAGCGGAGGGAAGCGACCGCACACCCGCGGGCAGGGCGGCAGAGGCGGCGAATCTCGGAGCCGGGCGATGGGAAAGGCAGGGACGCCAGGACCGCCCGATGCGCCAGTTGGCGTGCCTCCTCCAGGAGTCCCCGGCCCCAGATGAGGCCGGCCGTTTGCGGCGGAGGCCGGGGCCGCACTTGCGCGATGGCCCCTTGCAGCGCACCCCCGCCCTTGGCGAAGCCTGGGCAGGGAACGTCACGAATTTCCCAATTCCTGGAGAGCTGGCAGCTCCGGGGGTCCCCAGGGGTGGGGGAGTGGGGGGGCGACGGCGCGCCGAGTCCGGCCCGGGAGAGGCGGGGAAATATAGGAAACAGCCGGGAAAGTTGAAGCACAGGGAGGATCCCCTTAAGAGATACCCTGGGAACTGGCCGGTGTGGACCCCTGCAACCCGCTCCGCTCCTTCGCTCCTTCATCTCCCAGTGGGCTTCAGCACAGCCAGACCCCAGGGTTCCCAGGATCATGGGGTAGGGAGAGTTACTCCTCCCCGAAAACAAAGGCCTAGAAACCACTCCCCACCCCTGCACCATCACCCCCGTGTTGTTAAGAGCTGGCTTTGGAACATTCAGACCTAGATTCCAGTCCTGGCCGCTCCTTCACAGCCTCAGTCTACCTGTAAAGTGGGGAGATTATAATCCCTTTTAGGTTTGTTGTGGGTATATAGGATGATATGACACGCAGAACGCTCAACTCAGCGCCTGACCGCAGTGAGAGCTCAAGACAGGGCACTGTTACTGTTATCTGAAGTTAGATGGTGGGAAGCTCTTTCCCTCTCTGGGAAGTAGAGACAATTTTTTCCTCCACCCAAAAAGAGGTCGGAAGAAGAAATGAGGCCCAGCACAGTGCCTGGCACAAATCCGACACGCAAGGAAAATTCATTGAGAAGCCAGATGTTTATTCAGCTTCTGGCCCAGCTCCACCTGCCTCTCCTCCCATTCTCAGGTAGCTTCCATGCTCTGGAATTTCTGCCAGCCCTTATGAGAGTTGTGCTTTAACCCTGCAGCAGGAGAACCTAAATGTCTGTGCCACCTAGAAAGTGTCACTCTCCCCTCCTACCCACTTCACACTACGGATAAATTGCAGCCTCAGTCAAAACGTCCAGGGGGAGGCACCTGCCCTAGATCGGTGTTTTTCAAACTACAGGTTCATGCGCAGATAATATGGTAGAATGAAATCTGGAATTGGCAGTCTTAAAAAAAAAAAAAAAAAGTAGATGGAAAAAAACAGAGATCTGCACATGGCAGAGGTAACTACTGTTAAACCTTTGTTTTGCATATATTGTGTATCTATACGGGGTTGCCATATAAAATGTTTCTTACAATGGATCGTGGTTTTAAAAAAAAGAAATATTTAAAAACATTCGGCCTATATGACACAGGTGGTCAGGAGCCAAGCTAGGACGAACCCCAGTGCAGGCCAACCTTCCCAGGCAAGCCAAGGCCCAAGTGGGCCAGGCACTTGCTCAGTCTCTGTGCTAGGCAGTCGGCAGAGACACGGTCCCCCAAAACCTCACACGCTCAAAGTGGAACCCGTGTTTAGTGAGTGTCCAGTCTCAGACCCTGGCTGGGGAGTGGGAAGCAGGTCTGGGGCCCCTTCCCCCAGCATCGCAGGGGGGCCTCAGCAAGATGCTGCAGATTCCTGATGGCCCCCAACCATGGGTTTCCAGGCCCGAAAATTTCAACACACAGCACTCTGCTCCCTACCCCTCCAGTCAGGGCTCAGCCGTGGACTCGCTGATGTCTCTGAGGTTAGAGGACTCCACTCTGTAAACGCGAGGTCTTTTTCCCATCCTTATCTCCAAAACACTGAGGACCCGAAGATTACTCCTCAAGGCAGGGCTCAGCCTCCCCACGGGGGGGGTCCTGTGTTTGTGTCCAGGGCCCCCGCAGCCCAGCCTCTGGCGCTCCCGGCTGTCTGAGGGCGACGGGAGTCCACGCTCCCCACGAATCCCATGGTACCTGAGGTACCCCGCAGCCTGGCTCAGGGATGCTTCCACCGAGCGTGCTTCTGCAGCGTGTTCTGCTCCATAAATCGGCGTGGACAGTGCGGGCACTGGTAGGGGCGCTCCCCGGAGTGGACCCGGCTGTGCTGGGCCAGCTCGCCCGCCTCTCGGAAGCGGCGTGGGCAGAGCGGGCAGCCGTGGGGCCGCCCGCCACCTGCCCGGTGAATGGAATGGTGCCGCGCCAGGTGGCTGGCCCGCTTGAATGCCTTCCCGCAGGTATCACACTCAAAGGGCTTGACCTCCGAGTGGGTGATGCTGTGTCGCTGAAGGTAAGACATGTACTCGAAGACCCGGGAGCACACTGGGCAGCTGTAGCACTTTTTCTGAGCCGAAGCCCCATCGGGTCCGGACTCTCTCTGAGACTCCTCGTCCACCAGCACGGTGTACGGGACGCCCTGGGTGTCTATGAGCAGGTAGTGGTTGGGCCTCGAAGGGGACGAAGTCTGGGGACATCCTGTGGAAGAGGAAGGTCCGGGTTCTGGGGACCCGCCTGTCCGAGGGGGAGGCGCCTCCATGGCCTCAGCGGAGGGAAGCGCCAGGGGCTGGGGGCAGGGGTTCGGCAGCACCAGCATCCGGAGGGGTGACTGAGGCCTGGTGGAGGGGAGAGAGGATGAGAAGGTTACAGTAGAGGAGGGAAGCTCAGCCCCACGGGCTCTGTTCTCCCCTCTCTATGTAACCTACTCAGGAATTCTGCAACCCCCCCATCCCCCATCTCCTCTCCAGTCCTTCGGCCCTGAACTCTGTGACCCTCTGTAAGGCTCCTACGCACCCCCTCCTTGAAAAACCTCTCCGATTCTGTTCCACCACCGACTGTACGCACAGGCTCTCTTTATCTATCCGCTTTGTGCCCCCCTCAGGTCACAGGTTGCCCGCAGGCCCCACCTAATAGACCTCCAGGCCTCTCCCTTGTCCACGCCACTGATCCCAGTCTGGGTGTCAGTCCATCCTACATATTCCACCAAGAAGCATTTCCTATCCCCTCTATATGCACTCAGGCCTTCTCACATGGGCTGTCACGTTGGGAACCCCATGTCCTAACCCGCCCACCTCCCCTCGCCCGGCTACCTGCAGGTTCTCTCCAGTCCGCGCCCATCCACCCCCCAGTCCTGGCAGTGTCCCAGCGCTCTCTAGGGTTCCACCAGCGGCCCGGGCCTTCAGGCCTCTCTACGCAAGTTCTCGGCAGCGCCCCCTCCGAGCCGTCGGAACAGCCCCTCCCCGCCCAGCGCACAGGTACCCGCTCACCCGGCCCCGCCCCTCCCTACGGCCCGCTCCGGCTCCCTCCCGCCTCCCGGCCCCCGTACCCGGTGCAGCAGCCTCTCGGGTCCGGGCGACTCCGGAACGGCCCCGGGCTACTCCCGTGGTTGCAGATGGCGGCGGGTCGGTGGCTTCAGGGTATCCCCCAAGAGCTGGCGGCGCCGGGTAAGGGGAGAGAAGACCAGGGTAAAGAGAAGAGGGTCCAGGGGAGGGCGGTGGGGGCGGGGGCGCCTGGGCCATCAGGAAACGGCTCCGGCCAGAAACACAGGCCGAGATGAAGGTTCCCAGGTGCTTATGGTCCCGTTTCCATCCCCCAACCCCGCTGCCTGCTTCACCCCGTCCGCCCCCACCGCTCCCATACGCAAATAAGAGCCCTAAAATGGAGTGCGGAATGTTTATTGAGTAAAGGGTGAGGGTGGTGGGTGGAAATGGGGCGACACAGAAATAAGCCAGACCGTGCCCGTGCTCTTTTGTCAAATCTTCCACGCAGACAACAGTTCACCACTTCGGGGCGGACAACCAGGGCTCAGAGAGGTTACGCCGCTTGCAAAGGCTCACACAGCACAGTTGGGCGGAAACTGGGCTCCGACTGGCTCCCAGTCACTGGGAGGGGCAACGACTTGGTCTACATCACACAGCTAGAGAGGGAGGGAGGGAAGGAATGTTTCTCCCTTTAGATAGTTGGGGAAACTGAGGCCCAGGGTAAGGCAGTAACCTCAGCGGAGTAAGGGAATGTGCGTGGGAGTGACGCTGTGTGGGTCAGACGTGGTGGCCCAGAGAGGGGCCGGTCAGCACAGGCCGGGTCTGGAACTTAGTGGAGGCGCACGTGCTGCGCCAGCTCTGCTGCGTCCTGGAAGCGGCGTGGGCAGAGCGGGCAGGTGTGCGGTGGGCCGGCGCGGGCACGGTGCGTGGCACGGTGCCGCGACAGGTGGCTGGAACGCTTGAAGGCCTTGCCGCAGGCGCCGCACGTGAAGGGCTTGAGGTCCGAGTGCGACACGCGGTGGCTCTGCAGCCGCAGAGGGCTGGCAAAGACCCGGGCGCACTCAGGGCAGCTGTAGCCCTTGCGAGGGCCTGGCTCTCCCGTTGGTGCCTCGCACTGTGGCGGGCCCCGGGGCTCCTCCTCCAACTGCACCGTGTACGTGTAGGGGACCCCGTTGGCGTCGATGAGCAGGTGGCGGCCCAGCCGCGGGGGTCGGGGCCCCGCCGCCGAGGAAGGAGTGGAGGAAGGGCCTTCCGTCTTGGGGAAAGGGGGAGCCTTGGGGGGCGGCGGGTCCATGGTCTCCGGAGAGGAGGACCGAGGGTGGGGTGGCCGCGGCGGCAGCAGGAGCATCTGGAGCGGCAGCTGGGAGCGGCGGAGGGGAGAGAAATTAAAATCGCCACTTACTGGGGAGAGTGTACCAATTCTCACTGCCTGGTACCCTCTCTGTACCACTGACCTACCTTCCCTACAAAAAAAGAAACTGCTTCTAGGCCAGATCGCTCCACTTGCATCAAGCAGCTTCAGGGGCTTCTACAACTAAGCTCAGCATCTCAGGGCCCCGACTTGCCTCTCCTCCCGGGTCCTCCTCTCATCCCCCAGCTGGACCAGAGGGCTTCACCCAGCCACTTCCCTCCTCCTCCACCCCAAAAGCCAATCAATTTCCAACTCTATTTCCCCCTTTACATCTTCATAGCCTCTTTCATGTCATGCCAGGGCTCTTGCCTCCAGAATTTCTCTAATGGGTCGCTTCCTCTTCTTCCCAGCCCCAGCTCAGGTTGCATCCTCTCCCCCCAGGACCACCGCAGCAGCCTTTCTTTGGCCTCCAGACCCTTCTAGATCTCCATCCCCACTAGGTTCCCTGGAAGGCCTCCCATCTCTGGATACAGCTGTAGCCTCTCTTAATTTCCTCTCTAGGTACATCCCCGGAGCCCCACTAACCCAATTCCCCACTTTTCACCCAGGGCTCCTCTATCCTGTTCCTACATTTAGCACCTTAAGGTTTCAACATCCTCTCCCATTACCTAACCTGTCCTCGAAATTTCAGGTATGCCTACCTAGGACGCCTCAACTGCCGGCCTTCTACGTAGCCCACGGCCCATGAACTTTGCCACCTGCTACATGTCCACCCAAGGGTCCCTCTCTCTCCCCAGCCCTTAGGTATAAGCCACTGACATCTTTGCTGTTCCTCTCTGTACCCCTCGGGGCCTCCTCTCACTCCCCGTGACACACACCAGGGCCCCCGAGTCCCTCTCCCAAGCCCCCTTCTCCCTCTCTTCTGCATGCATCTGGCATCTTTATGTCCCCATTCCTATCCCTGCTGTACCAGCACAGCGCCTCCACCCCACTTCTCTGCTCCGCTTCCTTCTGTAACCCCAGAGCCCCTGTGTCCCCCTTTCCACTACGCCCCCAGGAACCCCTCGCTCCCGCACTCCCTCCTGCCTGTCCCCCGAGCCCCGGCTCCTTCCCCGCCGTGCCTCAGCCCCACCCCCACCCCCGTTATCACCAGCCCCTCCCCCAGCCCTGCCCGGCCTCACGCCGTCCCGGAGCCAGGCTCCTCCCTCCATCCCGGCCCCCGTACCCGGTACAGTGGCTTCTCGGGTCCGGAGGAGCAAGCCGAGGTCCCGAGCGGCCCGGGCTTCCCCTCGCGAGTGCCGGTGGCGGCGGGACCGAGGCTTGGGGGAGCTCCGGGCCGGCGGCGCCGGGGACGCGGGCGCGGGGGGCGCGGGGGCGCGAGGGGCGGCGGCGTCCCTGGGAAAGGGCGCCGACCGGAAACGCGCGCGCCTCAAGGAAGGTTCCGCCGCCCCAGAGCCCGCCGCTCTGACGGCCCGCTTTTTTTGAGTATCTAGGGATCGCGAGAAAGGAGAGGGGCCGAGCGCGCGGGAACCACACAACCCGCCCCCTGCCCCCCGCTCCCTTCCCATTCCCTACGGGGACAGTTCATTCTCTGGGACAGAGACTGATTAGTAGACGAGACTAGGCGAGGCTGTCTTTGCCCGAAGTCCCACAAGGAACGGACGCGCCCAATCCGTCCTCTTCCCACTGGCCGACGCGCCTGCATCCCCTTCCAAACGAGGCAGAGAGCGGGAAGAGGGAAGTTTCTGTCGGCTGGGCAAGTGGGGAGACCGCGGTGCAGACAGGGCCAAACCTTGCCAGATGCAGAGGTGGGCAAGGGTGGCTCTTCCCATCGGACAGGTGGGGAGACGGACGGCCCGAGAGGGCTAAACCTTGCCAGATGCAGAGGTGGGCAAGAGTGGCTCTTCCCATCGAGGAAGGGGGAGACTGAGGCGCAAGGAGCAGCAGCGACAGTGTCTGGGTGGTGTCGGCACAAAGCGCGGTGGGCCCGATGCCCCCGCGCGCAGAGAGGAAACCGAGGTCCGGCGGCCGCGTCCTGGTGCAGGAGCGCGTTGACCAGAGAGAGGCAGGGCAGCCAGGCCAGATCCGGAACCTAGTGCGGCGGTCGGCGCCAGGCCGCGCCGGGTGGCCGGAGCGCTGGAAGGCCTGGGGCACGCGGCGCACGCGGAAGGTTGGAACGTCGAGTGCAGCGCCGGGGGGCGCCCGCAGCTCGTCCTCCAGCTGCGCGGTGAACTAGTAGCGAATGCTGCGCGTGTCCACGAGCAGGTCGTGGCGCCGGGGGAACCAGAGGGGGGCGGCCGCTGCAGCTGGGGAGGGGAGGCAGCTGGGGGCACAGAAGGGAGAGAACCGGCGTTACGGTCGCGCCCAGACCAAGGACCCCGGCTTGGCCAGAGGTGCGTCCGAGAAAGCTGCCGAAAAGAACTTTCTGGGATGATGAAAAAGTTCTATGATCTGCGCGTTGTCCACTGGGACAGCCACTAGCCGCGTGAGGCTATTGCTCATTAGAAATGTGGCTAGGGCTTGAGGACCTGAATTTTAAATGGTATTTCATTTCTCTTAATTTAAATCTAAATAGCCACAGGTGGCTAACCGCTGCCCACCTTACGGTACAGCTCCTAAACCACCCTCAACCAGTTGCAAACTGGAGACCTGCGGGCCAGAGAGGGCACAGTTATATTTGGTTTGGATCACAGATATGTCTTAGTGTTTTACTGGGCAATATTTAAAAAGCCAGAAGATGCACACACACATTGCCAGCTATTGAAAAAAGTCTCTAGATGGGGCAACAGTAAACTGAAACTGATGAAGCATTCTCAGAAAACCTTCAAGAAACCTCCAGTGACCCAACAACCGTGATCTTAGGCTTCAATTAAAGAGCCTCCAGAACTGTGCTGTCCTAAAGGGCAGCCACCGGCCACAGACAGCTCTTAAGCATTTGGCATGTGTCCGGTCTGAACTGAAATGTGTCATAAATGCAAGACACCTAAAAGATTCTGAAGACTGA